TCTCTAAAGTTGTACTATTTCACATTTACAGTAGTAAACAGTAAAGGTTTTAATCCGGTACTGACCATAAAAAACGTATGTGTTGTGTTACAACACATACGAACAAATAAATCACAAATAATTGCTCTCTTCGTTTCACTCACTCGCCTCACTTCACTCAATGCGGCTGATCCAACAAATGCTAGAGCTGTGGGGTAACGTTATTACACACTGCAGTAAGAATTAAATATTCACAGCAGTGAACTGGTCTCAGTGGTCCGGAAAATAAACACTTAAATGCTCACATTCAAATTAATACTCATGGTTACCGAATAAACAGTGACCTCTTGGCTGGTCGTCTTTCATCAGCGTAGTTATTCAACCGATGACGGAGGAGAATAACGCACTCTGTTGGCGGGTTAAACAGCAAACTGGTTCTTGAGTGGCTGTGGTGAAAAACAGTAAATGTCTACTTTCTTTTCTCCAGATGATCCATCTTTCGTTCAGGATGCAGGTGTTCGTCGACAGTCATCCACTGAGTTTAGGACTGTCACCCGGTTGGTTTTCGGGTACCAGAGTTGTTCCCCCCTGCATCAATGGAAAGGCGCAGTGTGACGGTCTGCACCGGTGTTGTGGCTCCAACCAAATCACACACTCAGGTGATACTTCTGACGCCAGATGGGCCGTTTCATGTACCAGGCGTTTTCTTTTTCCATGTGGGCCTCTCTCTTGGTTTCCCCAACACGGTGAAGTCCCAACAGCGGTATCTGCGTGAGTTTTAAGTAAATGCCTTTCTCTGTAGAGGCCACTCCCTCCAGGGGAAATTCCAGCTCAGCAGCGCTGCACGTCTGAATGATGCAGCGCACAGGGCCAGACCGGCTCGGCATCTGCCTGACAGAGACCGCTTTGGGCTCAGAGCTAAAGAGGACGCTCTCGCTGTTTGAACATGCAGTGCCATTCCTGAAGAACTAGCTTCAGTCCGAGGCTGCTTGGCAATGAGATATCTGTATAACAGGGTTCTTTTTGTGTGTGGATAAGTTGGACCTTGTCTTCAGGTTAATAATTGCTGATAGTGAAGGGATTGATGGGGATACTTAATATTGGCATTGGATGACGTTAGTTGAGTTTAGCCGACAGCATTTATCTGCTTATCACGCTTCTGTAACAAATGCATGGCCTCGTCAAAGCACGACCTTCGTGACACAAAGCATTTTCATAGGAAAATGTGTTCTTTATTCTGGGAAAGATGTCATCATTTTGTACAAATACAGACTGACTTCAGTCATGGACGAATTCTGTGACCTATTTTATTTGAGAAGCTAAAGCAATAGCATTTCCAATTAAAGCTGTTGATAAACTCACGACTGTCCCACTGAAAGTCCCTCTGCGCTGTCCCGGCTGCCCGCATCCTCCATTTCCATAGCAACCGCCGCTCAGGAGAAAGGCTGAAGATGTTTTGGATGGATGCAGAGATTTAGCGACGGATGCGGATTTTTTTTTGGGAAAAATACAAAAAATACAAAAACTTCAAATTGCAATGTGCTCAGTTATTTGAATAAAGAAAGAGCTGAGGATGTTCTCATTCAATGTCAAGTTTGAATTTGTGTTCCAGGCTTCGGTTGTTGAGGCAGAAACTACTCTTGACAGCTGTGACTAACAGACAAAGACAGACTGTCCTGCGCCTTTGACTGGAGGTGGAACCCTGTGTGGGACCAAAAGTGCGGTGAAGAATGAAAGATAAGAGACAGTGTTCCTTTTGTGAAGGTAATGGTTTATGGCTCTTTTACACACTGGATCTGTGATAAGAAAAGAAAGTGTATTTCTAGTTCATAAGGGAATTAATAACACAAAAAAAAGGTCTCTGCATTCCCAACACTGACTGTGATAAAAATGTAATTATGCAAATACTTTACATTGAAGGCCTTAACACGTAAACACACTCAAATAAGACCAACGAAATTCCTTTGTGTTGTGCTTTTCAATGAAGTCATTTCTGTTATGATTCAACGGCAAATATACATATACTTTAGAACTGGTTAAAATGCTTTTTATCAAACAAAATTCTGGGAAATTTTGCAGCTGACTTGATGTTTATTTGGTCGTGTGAAATAACAGGTAGTGCAGGCCTGCTTTCTTCAAAATTTTAAACAGGAAAACTCGCCACACCGCAGCATTGTTCGTACTCCCAGTTATGCCTTTGACTTCTCCCATTTCCCACTTTCTCCCAGCAGACACGCTGGGCTTCTTTTTCACAGTGAAATCCTGTAAATAGCCGTTTTTTACAGAAGTGCAGAACAATAGTCTGCAGGGTTTTCCATTCATGCATTCCTGGCCCACTGCCTGTTGCTACCTGACTAATGTCAGTGCACGTTTACTGTATGTCAACAGTGCTGCAATCACTCACGCACACATACACACACACACACACACACACATTTCTGCAATGTGTTCTCTGTTCTACTATTATTTTACCTCAGACTTCTAACTTATTGCAACAATAGCACTGTATAAAGTATTCAGCTACCATAAGGGACTTTAACCGATGTTTCAGAGTACCACCGATAGACTGCTTCTGTTTCTCCCGTGTCTCCTCTCCCTCCGGCGGGCCCAGCGCTACAGCCCTCCAGCGAGGAAAAAAAAGCTCTGATCCCAGCAGGAAGAAGAACAGACAGACGCAGCTGCCGGGCACTGAGCTTCTCCACGCCGCGCCCGAGCGTCTGCACAGCAGGTTGAAGGCAGCGGCAGAGCCAGATGTGTGTCTGTGCGTGTCGGGCCTGCTGATGCTAGAGGCCCCGCTGAAGGACCTTCTATCTATCTAGTATGCTAAAGATACAAACAGTACTGTCGTTTTTCTCGGTTGGCTACACCTTTTTGTCACAGACGGGGTTCCACCTCCAATAAAAGGACCAGGGCCTTTTCTCTCCTCGTCTTTTTGTTACCTGCAGCTGTCATGAGCAGTTTGGGTGTCAGTCTCTACAACTGAAACCTCAACCACAAATTCAAACTTGACGTGGCAACATCTGCAGCTGTGCGTTTGTTCTTCCACAGCAGCCGGCCAACCAGCCACGACTTGGCTACAGTTCTGATCGGGCAGAGCCACTAAAAACAACCCGCGCATGTGCCTTTAGCGCCCAAGCATTACCGCCTTCAGCGTCCACTCTCCTGTTGCAGGTTACATGGAATTTAAAGCAATCTTAAATTCTCGGTTCTTTAAACAATTTGAAAGTGACATGTGGCTCAGACCACACTAGATTTACATTTCTCGCAAGACTTCCAATGTTTACTTACTTCAGCACGTCAGCGCTGAGAGGGATTTTAAAAACCGTCAGCCAGACGGTCAGCGTTTCGCTGCCTGAACGTAAGCTGCCTGCAAAAAGCATAGGGAGGATTTCTGTGTGGGAGTGTGTGCCGGTCGAGAGGGAGAGAGCGTCTGTGATTGATGACCATTTTGCTTTGGACACGTTTGGACAGATGCCAAAAGCCCGGAATGAGAGGGCGTCCCTGAATCACAGTGGACTGTTAAATCACGCGGTGAACATTTCTCCTTTTTATTGGTTGTTCTAGCGGGAGACCGTTTAAGGTCCTCTGGTTTACTATGAAAGGACAAAATCTATGTTATGCAATTATGTTGAATAACTACCACATGATCGCAATATAGATATAATATATGTTATTTGTTGATAGAAATAAAAGATAAGGGTCGGAAACTGTATTCTGCTTTTTTGCTTACTTGCAAAGTACTAACAATTTGCACTTAATATTCTGCTGATTGACTAAGTTATTAATCAATCAGTTGAAAAGAATGAATCTGAAACATCTAATACATCTCTCATAATCTCCATCTGACATGTTAAGTTGTTGTTTTAAAATGTCCAGTTTAGTTCCAAGCAGATTTGTTACAGTTCATCAATTACCAGCTCATCTCCTTGACCTTTACATTTCCTCATGCTGCTGTTTTCAAGACAGAGCAAACAGCTGCAGAAAACCCCTCGCAGCCTTTACACAAGATGTGTTTACCATCCTGAGACGTTCCACCCCGTCATCATCAACACCATCATCACATTATGTGGCTACGTTACATCATAACCAGTGAAATACCTCATGCAGACACGCTGACAACAGGATAATCCCATAATAAACGTCTCCTGGTAAAGGATAAGAGCTGCAGTGATGATTCTATTAGTCAGTCAATCTTTGATTGTTTGGTCTCTTAATTTTAGATACTCAGGTATCACATTTAGAAAGATCTTATGGGATGAGAAATAAAATGCAGAAACATAGAACACTCACATCGCAATTGCAATTTCAACCGCCGGATCACAAATAATGGAAATCCATCTTGTAAAGTTTCAAGAAATGGATTCACGTCTAGTCAACCACGAACACGGAGCGAACAGCATCGTGTGAGGAGCTGCAGATACGAGGTTGGTTTATGTGTGACCGCATGGAGAGGCACTGGATGTAGCAGCCAGTGTGTTTTCAAGGAAACAAGAGCAGAAATGTCACTGCGGGCCTTTCCAGATGGAAAACATGTTGTTTTTTCCCCCAAACATTTAATGAGAGCTTTCCGCTTCGTTGCGTGTGTGTGTGTGTGTGTGTGTGTGTGTGTGTGTGTGTGTGTGTGTGTGTGTGTGTCAAACCATCCAGCAGGTCGGGTTAATGCAACAAATTCTCACAGTGATAATATATAACACAAATATTTACTATTAATCCTAAAATCCTTGCACATTTAATGCGGAACCAACGATGCATCAGCAAGTAGCATTAAGTAAACTAAACACACGCGCGCGCACGCGCACAGACGGTACCGCGCGGGACTACTGTGCGCTGATTGTCCAAGTCCAAGGCGCGTGGAGGAGACGTGTGATGCTGCCACGAGGCGCCTGCAGGGCCGTGCGTGCGCTGCCAGAGGAGGGAGAGAGAGAGAGAGAGAGAGAGAGAGAGAGAGAGAGAGAGAGAGAGAGAGAGAGAGAGAGAGAGAGAGAGAGAGACAGAGGGAGGGAGGGAGGGAGGAGGAGGAGGAACGCGGACATGAAGCGCACTCATTGTGCGCCAAGGACCACGACGGTCCGGAGTGGCGGGGAGTCAGAAGAGAAGACTTGAACCGGGACCTTCTCTCTCTCTCTCTCTCTCTCTCTCTCCCTCTCTCTCTCTCTTGCACCTGAGGGGGGAAACATGCGATGTGACAGCGATTCGGCCGCGCGTGCTTCACTTTTGCCTTCGCCAACACCTCCGGGGAGTTCACTCTCACCTTCCCGTGGTCCTGCGCGTCGACGAGGAGGCGATGTTTAGGCGCAGGCTGCCGGCACCGCAGTACGGACGCGTGTGTGTCGGTGCTCGACAACGTGCGTGAAGACAAAAGTAGCGACGAGGAGCCCCGCGAACGTAGTGTTCGGCTCGAGAAAGCGAAACGCCGCGCGCGCCGGGTTGAGTCTCTTTTTCCTGCGATCACTCACCTGTGCGCCTCGGGTTTTTTTTGTGTGTGTGTGTGTTGATGTTGCGGAACCGCGTGCGGTAAAAAAAAAAAAAAAAGTAAGGGCGAAGATGCAGGTGAAGAAGCAGCGGGACGCGGGCCGGAGCGGCGTGGACACGCTGGAAGGAGACGGCCCGCGCAAAAACTCCTCGTGCTTCTCGAACATCAAGATATTCCTGATCTCGGAATGCGCCCTCATGTTGGCGCAGGGCACCGTGGGAGCGTACCTGGTGAGTGGACCCTGTGGCATCGCCGAGACCCGGCTGCCGTGGGGCGATATAGACACACGTTCGGTGTCCGGGTCCAGGCTTTGTGCTTTGTGCTCTTTTCTGCTTTACAATCGCCTTTTAGACACATCTGCTTTGCTGCAAAGTACATTTACAAACGTATCCCAACTGTGTCTCGAGTGTACTAGTTGTACAAACTAGCTGCGCTGGTGCCGTGATGTCTGATTTATGTTCTATACTGTATGTGGCAATCATTGCATGATTCTACCCAAAATGTCATTCGAGGTCGAGGGATCCGTCCCATTACTTTGACTTCCTTTTTAGTTTCGGTTTTATTTTACTCCCTTTTAAAAAAAAAAGGAATCCCACCTAATCCGGGTGGTATGCGTCCCTCCTTCTCATAATATCTCCAAATGTGTAGTTTTGTTTTGCGGATGCAGTAAAAACAAAACAAGATCTCAACTTCTTCATATGTTTTTTTGGTACAAGGCTCCCAAATATTCCTATAAGCGCCCCAGCTAGCTCGGCGTTCTCAGTTAACAAACGTCAAACATTTAGTTTTGACCTGTTTATTATCAGAGAAAATAAGCTTGGGTTGCTCCCAATTAATAGATTAAACCCTGGATGCATTTGCCGTATTTGGAATGGAACATCTTATCTTCTCTGTGAGTGGACCTGCTGAGCATCAAGCATCCCGCAGCTCCGAACAGCGACAGCAACTCCAAATCAGTTAGCATGATTGCCTAAAGAGGACTTCCTCTTTGTTGTTTATTACAGGAGAGGCTTTTGTTCTCTTTTGCAAAACTGTTTGAACAATAAACCAGATGAGGTTTCTATTGGTTTATATTGTTACTGCCTTTCATCCAACAGACCTTATTGAGATGGAGTTTCGTTTACAAGCTGTAAGTAGGACATTGGGTAACTGGTTTGGTGGCAATCTGGTGAACAGGCGTCGACCTACATGGGGCATCTCTGATTGGATGATGGGACTTAAGAGTGCGTGCTGGCAGGGAACGGCCCGAACTCCGATATCATGGCCCCCTTTGCTTTCTGTGAGCCGCTCGCTGTACAAGACACTTAGCAGCATGCTGGGCGTCCTGATTCATAGAGCCTGACTGCAAGTGAATGCACAGACCAACTCAGAAGTACACAAGGAAGTGTCAGTTTGTGGGTTTTCTTCAGAAAGTCCCTCAGCTCTATTACACCATCTATGTGTAAGAGACGTTGAATTGAATTTACGTCTATGGATTCTATTAAAAAAAAATCTTATAATGTCTATAAATGTGGAAAGCAACATTGTTTGTTTTCTAGTCCAAACATAAGTCTGAAGGTAATTGTTTACCCTACTTTTACTTGAAGAATGACTGAAATTATATCTCAATTATCCAAATAGTCGCAGAATATTTCCTTGTCAATCGACTTTTTGATCATTCGATCATCGTTTCAGCTCAGATGGACTCCGAATTGCAGAAGGTAGAACACGAGCCTTCTTTATATACAGCCAATACATTGATTAATTGATGTTGTAGTCATAAAGCTGTAGTTCAAAAGAATGTATCAGAAAACTAATTTGTAGCCATTTTGGTATTTGTTTATTTTGCTCCGACATTGTTCCAAAAGGTAAAAACATTTCACCAATTCACGGATTTCTGACCTGATACATACGTCAATAATAAAAGTATATCTCCAGCTGATCCCAGAACCAACATAGGCTTTTAGACAATTTACATTCCTCCAAGTGCATTTTAGACAAAAACAAAGCTACAGGGACAGATCTACGTGGAGGTTTATTTAACACCCCCATGATCAGAACCAGGTCTGACACGGCGGAGCTCAAGCTGCTAAGTGCAACTAACACTCTGAACTGCGTTAACCTGAACCGAATCCATTGAGCTTACTGTCGTTCTCCACAACAGCTAAATATCAGCGTTAATAGCTATGCTATGAGTATAAAAACACTAATCAAAATCAGGGTGGTAATTTAGCATTGCTGTCTCAGCCTTCAGGCCAGTAACACAACACCTCGTGTCTCCTGCTGTTGGGAATGTGGTATACTTCTAAAAATCCAAATTGCTCAGTGGTCTGTGATGAAGAATATATTTATTTTGGTGTTGAGGATCAATAAACAGGCCGTTCACACAAAATCTGCTTAACTGTACGTGAACTCAAAGAAGTAAAATGTGTAAACGCCACTAAAAACAAAGGATAGAAGAGGATTTAGAAATGTATCCACACGGCACTGCCGATGTAGCTCATTTCCGAAGCCAATTAAACAACTCTGGAGACTGGTACCTTTATCTACCCTCCAGTGTTTCACCTCATGGAACTGAATGCAAATTATTTTAAATACTGAGTCGTCAGTTGAAACGGCTGTTTCAGCCCTTTCAGCGTCCTCGCGTCGATCCTACATTGATTCTAACCCTTAACGAGATGAAGTCAATTTTGCCGTTAAGTCGCTTTTTTTTTGCCAAAACCCTTTCAGAACAGCCTGGGAAAAGTCTGCTATTCCTCGTGTTCGGTCGAGGCTCGCCGTCTGCTTGGTGGGTTGGGGTGTTCCACAACATGACGGTGTTTTGTTCTGTTGCCATGCAACAGATTAAACATTTCCCCAGTTTGAGTTATCTGGAGAAAATGTAGCGGTCACCACAGACCGGTCCGATCCACTCGATTCTCCCTGTGTAGTTTTGTCTTGGACTTTTCCTCCTGGAAAGGCTGCCTGTTTAAGGCAGAGTGGAAAAGCGTGAGCAACGAGGAAAGACATAAACATGTTGAAGCAGAAGACGAGGGCTTCGCTCACCCGGAGTGTTTCCACTGCTCCGCTGCTGGACGTGCTTGGATCGCTCCGGTGTAATGTTGCCAGAGCGTCTCCGTCCGTGTTGGGACGAACAGGCTGGTTGTCAGGGCCTCGTTTGCGGGAGCTGAATCCACAGATCCCAGCCAAGAAGAGCGTAACTGTTGCCTGTCCACTTTGTTTGCGCTCAGCGAGTAAAACGACCCCCAGGTGGACGTCACGGCTCAGCTTGTGGTTCTCAGCTGTGTCCACGGCAGCTGCAAGAACGACCTGCTGTCGTTTCTGCTTCTCGAGCAGTCAGAGAAGACGCCGCTTTGTTCTACTGCAATTACAGGCTGGACAGGCTGTCCGGCCATTATTTCATCTGCAACAACATCTCCTCACGTTGGCGCCTGTTGTGCATTAAATAGCATTTCAAAGGGTCCGTTAGCGTTTATAGAAACTGGTCATATTTTCACAGGAGGGCTCTGAAAAGTAAAGGTCTTCACTCTTTAGATTTTAGTATCGTAGAATAAAATCAATTGAAACTCTAAAGAGATTGTGAGAAAAGAGATCGTAAAGAGAAGTGCGAAAAAAAGAAAAAAAACGGAATCATCAGGTCATAATGAAAAAAACAGATACAACGCCGGAGGTGGATGACACATATCAGCATCGAGTAAACAAAATCTCAATTTTTCCAACAGAAGGACGTCTGTTACTGATGATATTTAACACGTGACCTTAAAGGTCATTTTCTTTGTTTATTAAACATACTCTGATCTAATCCACTTCAACTGTGGTGATTAACATAATTCAGCGTTTGTTGGGAAATATTTTCCAACAACAAAACCACAGTTTTTTTGTTTTTTTAGAAGGGGATGTTTGTGTTGGCAGGATCCTTTTTTTTGTTGGACTGAGTTCAGTCAGAACTCTTTCACGCAGCCAGTGGGGGGGAAATGGAAAATTGTGATGCCCTTTCAAGGGCAGTTTGGGACAAAGCTGAAAATAGCATCATAACTGTTTAAATGTGACGACGTGGTTCACATGGCACACAGAGACTTTTCCCACATATCACACAGCCCCGCTTTCACTTCACTGAATCATCACAAACTTTAAGTTAATGTTTTCACTCGCACACTCATTTCATGCGCTGGGAGGATCGTGTGCTCAGCAACGAGGTGCGCGGTGATAATTTGCGCGCCGAGTTATGGCTGGTACTCCAGCCAAAAGCTTCGTCCGTTTGATTTTGTTTTGGCTACGTCTTCAAATCCCACGAAACAGCCGGGGTTGCTGCAGACACACCTGGTAGAGATCTGTGTTCTAAGGGTTCTCTTCTAAGAGTTGCCGGTGGGCTCTTGCACTTGGCTGTGGCAACGTTGCCGTGCCCAGATAATCAGGACCAACGGCCCGTTTCCAGGGAGGTGCCGCTGTGTGGAACATCTGAACTTGGCTCGTTATTTAGGATATTCCGATGAAAAGCCGCAGTTAGGAATTCATGACGAACACACGCTTTCTGAGAATATCGGCCACATTTTCCTCCTTATTAATAGCACGTGCACTGTGTCTGGATAGGGACATCTGATCCGCAGGCCTTTGCACACACAGCCGGTCTGAGAACCGATCAGCTCAAAACTGGCTGATCGGATTGCGTTCCGGTCTCATTTCTTAATCCAAATGGGACATCGAGACTTGATTGCATGTTGGTGCCAGGTGTGAATAGAGTCAAAGAGTTTCAATGCTTATCATACTCTACACCGACGGATAAACAATGAGTTTTTCTGTTGGTGACAGCAGATTTTCACGTCCTTGTTTTGGTTTTCTCTGACGCCGCGTCCTGTTGTTTTCAGGTGAGTGTGCTGACGACCCTGGAGCGGCGGTTCAACCTGCAAAGTGCCGACGTAGGAGTGATAGCCAGCAGCTTCGAGATCGGGAACCTCGCTCTGATCCTGTTTGTCAGCTACTTCGGGGCCAAAGCGCACCGCCCCCGTCTGATCGGCTGCGGGGGAATCGTCATGGCGCTCGGCGCCCTTCTCTCAGCTCTGCCGGAGTTTTTGACCAATCAGTATGAGATAGTGAAAACGCGGAGGACCGAGGTGGGTCGGGACGTTTGCTCCAACACCAGCAGCATCGACGCCCAGCTGGCTGAGGACGCGCTGTGCGACAACAGGACCAACACCAACATGATGTACCTGCTGCTGATCGGAGCCCAGGTCCTGCTGGGGGTTGGAGCCACACCTGTGCAACCTCTGGGGGTGTCCTACATCGACGATCACGTGAAGAAGAAAGACTCATCACTCTATATAGGTGAGCCACATTCCTAAAAAGCCAGATCGTTCCTAATCTGTTACAAAAAAAGGTAAGTATCGAAGTAGCCAAACGGTGGCCGTCTGCTGACGGATTGATTGATTAAATTGCTGTTCAAGCATAGCAGTGTTCAATGAAACAGATGATTATCACACTGAATTAAATCTAGAATTAAATCTACACCCGATTTCCCAAGGCAACTAAGACTGGCACAGCGGAAGGACGCCATGAATGTGTTTGTCCATCAGGTGCAATGTTTGCCCTGTTTGAGTCAACACAGCGTTTGTGTGTGCTCTTCTGCTGCACGCCATATGCCTTTTTCCCCCCCCCAACAACAGGCCTGGTCATGTGAGTGCCAGGTGAGCAAATCTTGGCGCATTACAGCCGTTTCAGTGGCCCAATAGGGGTGAAAATGTCTCTGCTTTGCTCAATCCCGTCTCAAAGGAAACATGCTGCTGATGTGGCTTCTTAGAGGTTTAAAGGTGCATTCAAAGTGCTTTCTGTGCAAAGTTCTGAACACACAATGGCTGTTTAGGGGATATATATATATGCTGTGAGATGTACATTTTTCCATTTCAGTATGCAGAAGGAAGCTTTCATGCTCGGCTCATTAAGCCACAGAGGATTTTCACCTCTGCAGTTTTTCCTCGTCAGATGTTACACAGGAACAACCCCCAGTGAAATATGTTAACGGTACATGTGCAGTACATATATTCTCCAAGAAGAAACGCAACACATGCAACCTATTTTGGGAAATGTGTCTCATCAGCCGTCTCACCGAGAAACCATCAATACAACTCTGAAGGTGTGACAGTGTATCAACCATCTCATCTACCTTTTGGCAGCAAAGCGAACAGTAGCTCATCACGGTGCAGCAGTTGAAAGTAACTTTCACGCGCTACTGTTACCGCACGGCGAACCTTTCAGGTCAACGGCGACGCCACAGGCACAAATCCGTGCAATAGTAGGTTTCCTTGTTTTGTTGTCCAGACTGCCCACATCAGCCTTTGATGGAGTGGATGAGACGCGTGTGCGTAGCGCCCGCGCTGTTTGTTATCGGCGTGGAGCAGAGACAATGAGCGCAGGAGGAGGAGTTCAGGCTGGCAGCCACTCGCCCTTCCTCTGACACATGGCGGCGCGCCGCGCGGCGGCCTTTTGTCGCTCAAGTACAGATGTGACCTTCGGACAAAGGCGCCAGTGTCCGCCCTAGTCTCAAGTCCAAAGCTGATTTTCTTAATTGCCACTGGTTGTGTTTGTTTGTCCCAAACATGAGCCGTTTACAACAAACGGCTCCTTTTCACGTTATTTGGAACAACAAGTAAGCTGAGAAAGTGCCACCACTGTTACGGCTTGGCTTGTAAGCCGTTTACAGTGGGAAGTGGACTGCGAGTGATTTGGAGTTTGGTGGCGTGAGGGAGGCGAGATTTGGTTCTGTCCTCTGATAAGCTGCAAGGAGAGTTGGAGGAAAAACAAGCGGTGAGCAGTGAGAAACAATGTGGTATTGAGTTGGGCTCAGCTGATCGTCCTAATCCTCCTGCTGCAGGCATGTCATGTGCCCCCCGCTGCATGAATGGAGTAGATTGTGTGAAATTCTGTGAGATTTCCTCTCCCATACTGATAATGTATTTTGAAATTCATCGGTTTACGTCAACAAGTTCACATTGTTACAGCAGCTGTGGAACATTGCGTCTTTGTCTTGGCTAAATGTTTGCTTACTTCCTGTTAGCTTTTGCAGAAGTTCTGTAGACTTCAGCTTCAGTCTTATTAAATTCTCCTGGAAATGGGAGATTTTACAAACATGAAAGTGAATATGCCCATCATCTTAGTTGTGTTATTTTGACTCACAGACCGGTTTCAAGGGGAATTTTTTCGGAAAGATTCAAAGAAAAAAATCCGAGGATAACGTCTTTGGAATTTGAGAGCAGAAACTTTAACCTGACGTGTGTCTCATAACAGCTGCAGACAGATGTGTGTGAGCATGTAAAGAAGAAGTTGCTCCGGGCTCAGTGTGTAAATCTTTGTGTTTTTTGTCGCGTAGACTCTTGCACAGCTTCTAGTGTTTTCACACACTCACTGGGAGAGCGAGTCGAAAGCAAAGTATTATTCAATCCTTCGATTCCCCTTTAATTATCTGATAAGAAATAAGTTCAAAGTGAAGAACGAATGAATTGAAAATACTATTCTCGATACTCAGCAACTGTTGCCCGCTGCTGTTCTTAGTGCACATTTTTGCCTGGTGATGTGTTATTGTTGAAATTAGAGGCTGAGCCAAATGGCCAGGTGGAAAGTGTGGGCCTTTGACAGAGGCAGACCCCGCCCTCTGAAGATCATTGCCTCGCGGGAAGAGCAGCCGATTGGCCCAGAGAAGAGCCATAATTACAGAGTGAGGCAGGAATGCCAACCAGGCGGCCGTGAGGTGGGTCTGAGTGGGCCGGGCTGCACAGACATACCACATAGCCCTTGTGAAAAACAAACTCCTTCAGAGGCTCCGACCGCCTGCTCTCACTGTGTACACGGCGGCGGGCCCGGCCCACGGCTGTTTAAACAGCTGTAAAAGGCAAAGTAGGCCGTGCTCTCAGAGCTTTTGAGCAGAGTCTCTATCTGCGATGGCTTTTAGGAGATTGTACATGCTACGTGGGAGATGTTGTTCTTTAAAAGGAAGTACTTTGGTGTTTGAATGCCATCACCAAGCAGAGTCAAACATTAACACCGTGTATTCTTACGGCATGGTCTTGTTTGGGTTGGCTTCCCCCGAGGTCTAGACGTAGGCACTCGTCCGTAGCCCGAAGGAAATGCATACGATCGGGCAGGTTGAGTCAACAGGATCTCTATTCCCACTGCTCTTTGACCTTTCACTACCCACGGCTAATTCTGGCTCTTCCCACAGGACCCCAGCATAAATATTCTGTGCAGGACACAGAGAAGGGTTTAGAGACTCCACCCTTCTGTCTCTTCTGGTTTCAGAAGCTTTTAAACAGCCTGGGAATTTGTCATGAAAATGTAATGCAAATGAAATGGAAATGTAATGCACAGTATATAGTGCCTGGTGAAGTACATATATATGGGAGGACTGAAAGTATGGTATTAATTATTTCATCAGTGTCAAGCCTTTTATTCAAAAGCTGGAAATTTCCACCTGTAGACATTTCTTGTTATGTAATTAATGCATGATTAGATTAAAAAGTGCTAATGGTGTGCACCTTTTATAATTTAACAAAAATGTCTGATGAAAGTAGGATAAAATAATGTGTTTTTTTTCCACCTTGTTGGTGGAGGCGTACGACAAGTAGAGAGAAATTCTTCCGTCATTCCGCTGCAGCTCAATAAGTCGAGGTTGTGCTTTTAGTTGCATGTCATGTGCTCACCACATGGTCACTGCTAGGGAAGTCCGTACGTACACACCGTGGTTGTCACGGTTAGTGGGTCAGTGTCCTGTTTTATTTTGTAGTTTCCTGCCTCTCGTGTCCCTGGGTTAACTTCACTGGTGTGTTTTCCCCTGTGAGTGTGATTGTCCGCCGTGTCCCTGACGGTTTTCTTCCTGTGTCCAATCACCTGCACCTTCCCAGTGTATTTAAACCATGTGTGTCCCTTGTCTCATCATAGGTTCATAGTGCGTCGGTGAGGTGTTTGTCGCCCTGTTGTTGTTTGCCTTTAGGCATTCTTTGGTATTCTACCTGTTGCTTAAGTATTTGTGTTTTTGGAATCTGCCTTTGACTCCTCCATGTCCCCCATTCACGGAAAAAATACAGGTTCAAAATGGGATCATTTCTTTTGATTTGAGTTGCCTCAATTGACTAACGTCAAACAACTTAAGCAGTTTGCAGCAGCGTATGAAGTGCCGTCGTATTCTCTCTCTTTCTCTCACTCTGCCTCTATTTTTCTCAGCCGAACTACCAAACTAGGAGAGACTGACTAGCTGCGGGGAAACACAAAGGCCTCTTATTCCGTTTGTGGTCTGAGACAAGATAACCTCTGTACCTGGAAAAAAAAAAGAAAAAGCAATAATAAATGCATTTACAGATCCGTATTTTGCCATCAAATAATAGTTTGTATGCTATTTTTAAGCCTTAACTCTGTGCATTTATTTTTTTGTATATTCCAGCAAATATTCTAATGGTATATTGCAAAACTCTGTTCACTTCGGCTCAACGGAGATAAATCGCTTCGGGTTTCTTTGGAAAACCAATGGAAGTCGTAGCGGGGACAATAGTCTCCGAGGGACCCTCGAGAGACTTGTCAACATTCCTGCTAAAATGCTCCGACTCCAAGCGGTTTCTGCAGTGTGTGTATAAGCTACTTAAACTGCATGTTAATGTCATCTTGAAGGATTAGATTCTAAATGGGTTTTTCCGTTCCTGCCATAAGCTGCATGCTCACTTTGCCCGGCGACATGAGTTTGTTTTATCTCAAGATGATAAATGGCGTCGCAGTAATCGTTCATCAGCCAGCCGCTGCTCCTCTGCATGCTTCGAATGAACCGTGTGAGCTCGTCTCTCCACCACCGCGTGACAGGAAGCTCCACAGTCTGCTGTGCTTCGAGCTGAATGAACCACAAACGTTTACTATAACCGGCTGCAGGCCAGCGCGCCGCGGCCAGCTCGGTTACCTCGGGTTGGTCCAAAGGAGCTTATCTTATATCCAACTTAACAACATGCTGCTGTAGTCTCCAATCTAATCGGTACCTATCCCCAAATACTATCATTTACAGTGTCATTCACAGAAGTGATAACGGAGCCGGGCTGAGTTCAGCTGATCACATTGCTCCCGTTTTGGTAAATGGAAAGTCGTCGTGATTGATGAGTGGCGGCCCCAAGTTAAGGTTTGATTAAATCCCGGGAGGAACGGTTATTTGACTTCAATCTGCTGTCCTTCTTTAAATCGAATCCTCTCAACCCTGCCTGTTTTATGAGGCACACACAACATCAGCGACAATTTTGTCTGCTGTTTATAATTTTATGATCTCCCTCCGAGGGGGTGTGCCTCGGTTGATCGTTCCACGC